GGGTGGTGTGATTATTCCGTACACAGCGCCGGAGGTTTGTCGGGCCAGTCGTGCTGAGGGTTTTCTCGTGGCCACCAGTCTAGATGTCTGGGCATTCGGTGTGCTGGTCTTTTGTATGCTGACAGGTAACTTCCCCTGGGAGGCAGCGTTGCCATCTGATGCTTTTTATGAGGAGTTTCGGAGATGGCAGAAAGCAGGTTGTCCCGTTGGGACTTACCCGTCTCAGTGGCGCCGCTTCACTGATGATGCCTTAAGAATGTTTCAGAGGCTGCTGGCTGCCGAGCCGGAGAAACGCTGCGGAGTCAAGGACGTCTTCTGCTTTGTCAAGTACGAGCTGGTCAGCGAACTCAGACGCAGAGCGTCCTGTCGGGCAAAGAGAGGCGAGAGGTCAAGCTCAGGAGTTTGCACTGGCAGCTGTACCCCCTCTTCATCCTCCACTTCATCACGTTCTTCCCACCGACACCCTGAACCCTCCACTCCTCCAGGAACGACCTGCCTGCGACCGGCACCACTCAAACGTAGCGTCCTCTCTGACCCGCTGTCTCCCAGAGAGGACAGTGGGCAACACCAGTCTCCGGGCCGAGACAAAAACAAAAGCCAGATGGTCATGGCAACTGCCATCGAAATCTGTGTGTGACCACGCGCTGGAGTGGAGCTTGTCACACAATAACAAACTGTGATGAGGTGTTAATGACTCCTTCAGAGACATCAGTGAGAAAGGAGATGGACTTTCATCATCAAAGATAAGCTCAGGATCTGATCCGCTGCTGCGACGATGGACATCAATCACACACACACGCTCCGACAGCTTATCATCGGCACATGGGTTTTCATTTATGACCAAAGACTGCTTCCCAAGCTGAGAAGCCATGCAGGCAGCGTTTAACACTGCAAAGCTGATGAGGTTCCTCTCAGCAGCTCATTCTGCCATCCAGACTTTTCTGCCCATACACTGTGGTGGTGCTAATGATTCGATAATTACATAGTACACAAGAATAGAGTCTTGTCTTTTCTCACTCATCAATATGTGTCTGTTTAGCTTAACAAATCTGGCAGTTTTTTGAACATGGCGATTTTGGTCTCGGTCACAGGTTACATTTAACATTGGAAAACAAGGACTGCTGTTTGTGATCACTGCCGAACTGCAACAGTTACATCAGTTTATAATTAATAGGTTGAAATGCGCTAAAAATATCCTTACAAGTGCAATGCAACATTTGCCACACCTTTCTTAATGCCACTGTGTGGGTTGAACTTTTTTCTTTTTTCTTACATAGATCTTTATTGTGGAAATGTTTTTAGTGGTCTGGTGTTGGGTTAAGGAAACTGAACGAGAACCATCTGGAGTAGTTCAGGTCAGTTTTAACTTGAAGACATGGCAGTCTTGGTCGTGGACAGTTTATTAAAAAAGTCACTTGTATCATGCTAGGGCTGAAGTTTGGACAGTAACCACAATAAGTATTGACTTCATCAGAGATAGAGATGTGTAATTGTGGAAACATTTCCTTTTCAATCTTATTACCAGACAAAAAAAGATAAGCACACACACAGCACAGTTAGGAGCTATTTTGTTGCTGCGTATTTGCAATAATATTTTATGAATTTGCTGGAGTAGAGGAATGAAAGTCCAAAATTCGGAATCTCTAGGTCGTGCTCTCAAACCATTAACATTAACTTGGTCAGTTGTGAACAAAATACTAATGACAATATCCTCATTCCTTCCATTCTCTTGAATTGTCTCATACCATATCAGGTACAGGGAGGCCAAAATGCCATCGGATCAGGTGGTACTGATAAGTCCAAGGCCAGTGATCTGATCTACGCAAATACGTTCTGCTGCCATTTCTCTAACTTCCTGCCAGCCTCCAATAGGTCAAATGTTTAAAAGAGAATTTTCAAAGAGAGAGTGTTCTTTTTCAAGACCAACAGAGACAAATGGAAAAGTTAAATGTAGCAGTTTGTATGAGATGTCTTTTCATACATGTCCTGACTCAGACTCAGACATCACCTCAGGACGCCTCAGTGGGTCACTTCGTTTTTGCTACTATTAATGGAAATCCACTGAGGTCGAGGATGACGTATCTGCCACTTCTGAACTGCTCTCAATGAGATTATTCTCCAGTGTAACACAGTAGAATACAGGGATTGCACATTGTCTGAGTGAAAGGAATGTTGGATTACAGAAATAGTTTTCTTTTCTACCTGCAGTGTGTGTCTGAAGGTGTTTCTTTGTGTGTGGTTCAAAGGCCAAAGCACAAAATATTTTCTAAAGTAATGACAAAACCTACAGAAAAATCTTTATGGTACTATTTCTAGAAGTGCACCGTAATATCAGGTAGTTCATCTATGTAGCTGTATTCTTTTTTTTTTATGACGGGGACTTTAGGGGTTTACATATACTGTACTGTCGCATTGTATGTAGCAACACTATATGACAAAATAGTCTATCATTAGAAAGGAAAAAAATGATCTAAAGTCATAACATCCAAGTGTATAACATGGAAGCAGCTGCTGATTTTTCTTTTATGGAAGAGTCTTGTCAGAACTGGACCAGGTTTTTCTTGACCCTTAACCTTTGTGTGCTAGATTTTGGCACCTTTCATTTTCCTGTCAGCACCAACACGGCTTTCATGACGTCCATTCTGTTTGTACAAATATTGTGCTCAGCGCTTGACACCTTGAACAACTAATTGCAAAAGTTGTTTTGATTGTCAGGTTTGGACACCAAACAAATCGGACAGCTTGTTTCAAGTCAAGGTTGCTGTTTCTTTCTACACTGCAGCTGACACTCTTCATCCAATGTCCATTTCAAAGTGGGTGTAACATTTAGAATTCTGGAAACTCTTAAAAGTAGTGCATCTGAATGTCTGAAATAGTTAAGACAGAGGGTCAAAACGTCCCATCAGTAAAAGGAGACATTAAAGCTAGTTTGTTACTTTGCTGTTAGCTAGCAAAATAAACAGTGGGTGTCTTCTTATTGGGACAGGAAAGTTTTAAAAACATCTGAAAGGTGACACTGTTCAGCAACACAAAACTGATGACTAGCTAGGAATTAGTAAATTGTTTTGCATTTGTTAGCAAGCAAACTGATCATTTCTCCTTGGCTGGATTTTCAAAGAAAAACATGGCAGATGGACAGACATCTTGAAGAAGAATTAGTTACACGTTATATTTAACATGAATTGTTGGGGAAAATGACAGCCCCTGAAGATCACCTTTAATCTCATCTCCGTGCTTCTCTCTACTGCCACAGGCTCCTTTACCTTGAGGAATGATCTCTGTGTCATTTGTTAACATTCTCATCAGTGTTGATTGATCCTGACCCGCAGGCTGTTTCTAAAGAGATACTGCCGGAAAAGCACAGAGTAATCAGTGGGGACAAATGTTCATTTCCATTATCTTTTATTTCTTGCTTGAATTGCTTTCACTTATTTTCCCTCCTCTCCTCCCATGGCAGCCAATCAGCTCTGTCACTATAGTGACAGCCACAGCGCTACCCAGGTTCAGCTTCTGCACCCTCCCTGAACAACAAGTCTAATTGAGCTCAGGCGAACAACTGGTCGCCAGCCCCTCTTCCAGTCATCTGCAGCTCCTCATGACAGCTGCTGAGCTGACTGTACTGCATGACAGATTTCTCAAAATACTCGTTTTTGCTCTCTCTCTCTTTCTTTTTCCTCCAAGCTACTTCTCAAAAATCAAAGTCTTTATCTGGTTTTGTCTGACATAATTGGAGTTGAAGCGTGATCATTCCCTCCTTCTTTCCCTGCTCTGACTCTGGGCTCTGAAAAGGTGAGCTGATTGAGGCTGAAGTCCTGCTGGAAGGAGCTATTGTTTGCTGACATACCGACAGCATCGCAGCATTTGTCAAAAAGGTAATTTGCTGTGGATGGAGACAGGGATTACACAGCCTGTGGACCGTCAGAAGTTAGAAACACAGGTCAACACAAGAGAAATGAATGAAAGGTAATGAAGCATGGCCAGGTTTTACCGCAGCACAGAATAGATCATAACAGAATACGTGGTACTGCAGCATTTCATCATGACACAACTTAACATGACGAAGGAAGCATATGAACAAAAGTCAGTAAATAATAAATATAATTGTGTTATAAGGGATATGAAAATGGTAGGATATAAAATAAAATATTGGACTGTCTTAACTGAAAGTTTGATATGTTTCTCAGCAGGTTAGGGTGATAAAGAGATATAAATGAATAAGAATACAAGTGCATGAAAAGAGTACACTTGGTGAATTTGATAAATAAAGAACATGGCAACGAAAGGAAGAAATTGGTGGGAAAGCCCACTATTTTCTTTACCTTCATCTGGAAACTACCTAATCCTAGTTTTTTCTCAGATTTGCTACTTTACTGCTACTATACTTCTGTCCATTCTGCTTACTCCCAATAATAATGTCAGCATCGTCAACGTCACCTCCAGCTTTGCCTAGTAAGTGCTACTGTTTTCAAACCATCATAGCTATGCTCACTACCATCTCCACCCATTCAGACCTGTCCTCGTCCAATTATGCTTCTGTCTTTTGTGCACCATCCACTGCGTAGGAACGGTAACACACAGGTATATGTACACATCCCATCTTTCAAAAACATATACTGCAGATTATGCCATGACACATCAGGACATGATACATGTCATAAAACAATGCTAATCCATATAGTATCCACCATTATAAATCACTCTATATCATACAAATTCAATACATTATACAACAAAAGTGCTCAGTCAGCATGACTGATCTATCATACCATGGCAGGACATGACCTAACCAGCCATAACACTATGCTTCACAATATGACAAAGGTCAAATCATAACATGTTTTACAACCTACTGTTGTTCTTGTTGATGTAAGCAGCTGTGTCTTTGTTATACGTCATCATTAGACTAGCCATGTGCACTGTTGTTTCTCATGGACTGTTGAAACAGGACTTCAACAGGTGTAAAACATATGGGAGAAAAACTTTGTTTTTTGTTTTTGTTAAAGCTCTAGAAAGTAGCCTTCTTTTGTGTATTTGTTCTTCTGATCGTTGAACAAACTGTTTTCTGCCAGCAGGTCATGTTGATGTGGAATCAAATGTAAATACTGTACGTATTGTGTCTTTAACATAAAAGGTTTTAAAAAAGAAAATAAAAAGAAATATACAAAAATGTTAATATATGTTGAAATAAATCTACGAACCTCAATGTGTCTTCTGGGCCTTTTTCTTTACCCTGTGATATTTTTTGAAAGAGTTGGCAAAACTGCCTCTTCTCATGGTCCCCCACACTGTATATTAGACCAAAGTCAAACTGAATCATGTGTCATTTCCTGAGGCTTATGTCTGATTTAGTGGGGAGACTCCAGACTACTTTAAATTGACGACTCCCTCCTGAAAGGCCAATTAACATTTCTGCAGACAGGAAACACCTTCTGCCCCTTAAGCAGCAAGAAAGTGGTTCAAGGGCAGCTGCGACATGACATGGGAGAATGAGAGGAAGTTATCATCTCCTCTCTTCTCGTTGCCACTCAGCTGTGGTGTCATCGTGGAGGAGTTGAGTTAACTTGTTATCCGGCAGATTTTAGACGGTGCTGTGAGATGTGTGAGTTCCTCTGAGAAAAGCTAATCAGTTTGGACAGTGAGAGAAAAAGCGAGAAAAGGTCAAGGATGACACACAGGGGCTGAGGTAGTGAATACAGGCTTGTTCTTTGTAACAGATAGATGCAGGAACAACGGACTTTCCCCCATCACTCAATTTAGAAAAAGCTTCATTGCTAGGATACATACCATTGATAATCAAGAAAGAAACATTTTGGTTCTAGGTGTTAGCTGGTTTTAGAAACATCTTCTAAAGAACCTCAAGTACCGTCCAAAAGACGCCAATCTCCTTATTTTATCACTCAAAGCAAGTACAACGAATGAATGCATGAACCACAACGCAACGTAATTTTTTAAATGAATCAAATAACATTTATAAAACAGTTTAATACAACACGGAATGACATGTGCTGTACAGCACGCACAACTGAACAAAAAAGTGTTGCTTCACCAGAGCAGATCAAGATCAAGCAAAGTATAATTCAGGCAGTTTTCTCGTAGGCTACGTCATCTCATTCTGAACTCTTGACTTTTGAGCACAGGCTAAAATCCCAGTTGTACCAAGTACTGAAAAGCCCATGATGCTACTCAGGTCCAATCGCTGCAGCCTGCAGCTCAAGCTATCATGATATCAAATGACAAGCTTTTAGAGAAGTAACTTATGGTGTGATTGGTCCAGGGCTGAACTGACCGTTACAGATACAGCAACGTTGGATAATTCCTTAATGGTCACAGCTTTTAACACACAGCTCAGCTAAACTGGTTCCCAGCCCTGGGTGTTAAGCCTTTGGTAAGTGTTCCAGAAACGTAGGCAGCCAGTAAAGTGGTTCCTATGATGCAGCTGTTTGGATCAAACGATAAATCCTTCACAGTTATGCCTCTCTCAGCCACAGCTAATGGTGGCAACATGAGGTGACCGTTGAAGAGACAAAGAGACCACTCTCAGTCCTGCTTCTTGTCAGCGTATCAAATGCAATTCTGCACTTTTATTGCTTGGGTAAAATTTCGTGTAAGTGCCAGCAGGAAAAAAACGACCCACCACTGCCCTGAACGCACTTTTATCTCGTTCACATTTGGGAGAGAAAAAAAATCCAATGGTCACAAAAAAAATCCATCTTGTACACTGATGGAAATTTGGATTTGTTCAGGTTTCTTAGAAAACAAAACGCTTGCCTTGAGGAAAGTTAATGTCACTTTATTTTGTTCTTTCAAGAAACAGTAGGTTATAAAGAAATGATTCACTCCACAGGTATCAGGTGGTTAATATAATGTTTAGGACTTCATAACAAAGACGAAAAAGACAAAATGATAATTAACAAAAAAAAAAAACAACCCAAAGATTTACTTACAAATGATGTGAATGTCAGCCATCTTGTTTCTTTCCTTGTGTTCCTGGAGGACTGGGTTGTTGAGAACATTTTCTCCATCCAGTAGGTTGTTCAGTTACCATTTTCAGGAACACTTGGGCAAAGGTTAATGCTTTTGCCACAATGTTTCTCTTCCTGGTAAATAAAGCAACAAACTATGTTTTCTTTAGTGAGGATAAAAAAAAAGACATAGATACAGCGGAAGATACAGAGGAAAAAAGAGAAAACTAGAAATGTCAGAAACAGTAACAACAAACGATTACAAATAATGTTTTGTGAAAAGTGGCTGAGTAAATGACACACAGCAGAAAGTAATGAAAGAGGATCAGGTGACAAAAAAGGGCAGGTAAACAAAGGAAGTGAAGAGCCTTGGTTGAGAGAACAAAGTAAACCAGGAAATTGTGAAATATTACATTTTAATAAATATTAAAATATGAATGAAGAGTGTGTAAAATAATTTTGCTTCATTCTTAACATCAGTTAAAAAAAAATTGATTTTTCTTTTACGAGCTTAACTATGGCTAGACTGACCTGTAGCCAAGTATACGCTTAGTGACAAACATAACTATATCTACAATAATGTTTGTTAAATATTTGATTTGATTATTCTTTTGCAAAATTGTTATTTATGATAATGAGGAGAAATGTTACATTTCTGTTAAACAATTCTGTCTTCAATTTATTTCTGTTTAGTTCCAGGTTTAATCTAGCTTTTATTCAGCTACGCTTCGCTAACATAACGGTAGTTCTGCAGTATTTTGTGGTCAATCTTGAAGTACTAAATTCAACAATACTCGAAGTTCTGTTATACTTACAAATAACTTAATAACCAGGACAACTATTACAGCATATAAAGTGCAAAAACCCTTTCAGAAAAACACAGCCAACATGGCAAAATACATAGGAAATGATCAGGTATTTCAATGTCATTTTGCCCAAAGCCCAGCTCATGTAGTAAACAGTGTGTGTGTATGCAGAGTGTGCTTTGCTTCTTAAACACTTCATGTCATACCACAGCTATTGTGCCAACAGATGTGTGCAGAGGTCACTGCCATGTAATTACTGAACATTTCTGTCTCACTGGTGAACAATAAAAATATGCTGCTGTGTTGTGCCTGTACAGTACATTAACCACCCACTGTGGTTTTTCAGTGGGAGCTCGGCTGTGTAAGTAAGCAATTCTCCTACGAGCAAAACATTCCTTTAGAGGCGTTTTAGTAAACAAGTGACGGAGACGTCTTTCTTTCTCAGTTTCAGACCTGAAAGGCATTATTTTCAGCTTGTTTTGACGCTACAGGAAACACGCGGTTCAGTGTCAACCCCTCCTGCGTCACCCAGTATTCTGCCTCTGCACCTACGGATGAATCAACCACCGGATGCACCATGAGCTGCTCCTGTGTCCCTGATGTATTTTTGCAGCACAGCTGCAGGCATGTCACTGAAAATGGGGCCAAAAAAATTCCGAAAGATGGGAGCTCAGATAGTGATCACAGCAGGAGCTGGTTTGAGGGGATTTTCCGCAGCTCCCTCAGCCATAGACTGGGGCATCATCTGAATCTGCTGTCTTATCACAGCTGGAGAGGCTTTAGGAGACGAGGAAGGAGACGGGAGAGAAAAAGAGAGAGAGGGTAATGGTCAGGAAGGATTTTTCTAGGACAAATGTTGTTGTGTGTGTGTTTGTTTGTGTCCAAAGGGAGGAGTACTCACACACAAAATACTACAAGGAGTCATTAGAAAATAACCTTGTCCGTCCTCAGTGGTTCCTTTTTGTAGGTCACTGCAGACCTGTTAACTCCATCAAGAACCTACTGATGTTTATTGTGTTTGTGTGTGTGTGTGTGTCGCCTGAGGTGCCACTAATTTTTTTTTTTTTGCCTGTGCCAGACATAAACTCATAGACTATGTGTGGTTGTCTGCCATCATTGCTATGGCAACTGAGATGGTCTCAATTTGGAAGAGCTTTGAAATGTTCCTCCTGTTTAAAAAAAACCAAACCCCCACACTACAGCTAACACATGCATGAGACTGCATTTGTTTGCATATTATTTTGTTCTTTTTAGAACTGAAATAACTTGTTTTGTGGCCAAGAGCAGAACTTTCATCAGAGTATACAGTACAACCCTGTTGCAACCTGTTTTATTTATGATTTCAAAGTATTTCTGGAGCCATTTCTAACTGTTCTAACCTGATGAAAACTTTTTTGGCAAAATATCAGCTAATTTCATGGTAGTGACGTGGATTTTAGAAGAACTTAAACAAACAGGCCCAATTTAAACATAGAAAAAGTTGCAAGAAGATCAGGTGTTTCTTTAAGCTTGGAAACAAAAGATATAAACATAATTTTTGACGATTGCGACCGTTGAGTTAATGAGTTTGTATGTGAACAAATGACCATGTTTGAACCGAACAGCCACATTTATATTAGCAACCACTCTTATGTTCTCACTGTGAAAACTCAAATTAAAACCTCTGGCTTACCAGTTACTTATTTATATTCATCATCACGGCTCTCACAGCAGAAATTCTCCACGGATATTTTTTGCCTTAGTGTGCATACATTCTGCTGCCACAGCTGTGAGGCTTCACTTCTTCATCTCCTCACCTCCTGTCAGAAGGACAAACCCAACACATTATGACTGAAATCTTTGAAGCTGCGTCTCAACCAAGACAATGAACTATCAGTACGTCGAACATTTTTAAAGTACATTCTTCTGCCTAACTGCATTTAGCCAAGTGGATACAGCCATAGAGTACACAGTACAGTAAAAACAACAAATACTAAATAGCACAACAGATATTTTGTATCTCCTTGAAGTTTTACCTGTCATCTCAAATGTGGTGATGATATTAAAATGTCTCCACCTCTGTGAAAGCATCGGGGAGAATTTTTTTTTTCATTCCATTATCATGGGAGAAAGGCAGAACTCCCAGGTTCATTATACAAGGTCAGCAGTGATGATGTGGAGACGGACGTGCTGAGACACATCATTATTAATCATAAACCAAAAACTACTCCTGCCTGTAAACAGCACCGCTCCCTGGAGGACAGCAGAAGACAACACCACCGTGTACATGTCACCGCCAACATAGAAATTACAAAGACCCCTGGGATGCTGCCGGAGCGCTTCCCATAATCACTGTCGTTACTTTCAAAGATCTGCTAAAGGGGTTTTGCTAACAAGTAAGGAAGTAAAAGATGCAGACGGTGAATCATGTCCAAACCGACAACAAGACCAAGTGCCATCTCCATCTGGACACATTATAAATAATTGTCCTTGGTGACCGTGGTCAGCAAAGACCAAGAGAGATCAATGGTTTCCCCTGATTATGGACAGGCCCGAGCCAGATTTATTTTCAAGTCATTGGTGTGAAATGGACGAATAAGAAGAAGTTTCAGAGCGAAGCCTAAATGGCAACAGCAGGAGAGAGATGAAAGATAATACACAGGTTTGGGCCAATGACACTTAACTTGACAAAACCACAAACACACTGATCACCAATATTCATCCCATTTACACCGTAGCACACGACTGGCTGTGACCTGGTTCTTACTTAGAAAATTACTAGAAAAACGGCAGGTCTGGGGAGTTTGTATTTGATACTTTTGTACTTTATACTATACTTATTAATTCCTTATTTGTATTTCTTTTACTTCTTTATGTGTCATAATAGACATTTCAGGGACATTAGTGCCCTGACCACACAGCAAAAGGGCCAGCAGTGTAAAAGCCAGTGGTCACTGAAGGTCTTCTGGTTTTCTCCTACTGACCTTGAACAAGGAGGACTAGGGTTAATCATTCACTAAATTGACCAAAGGTGTGAATGTCAGTGTGAATGGTTGTTCCTGTATCTTCCCATGAGGTACTGTGATGACCAGTGGGCTGTCCAGGATGTACCATGTTCTCCACCAGTAACTCCTGTGACCCTGAAAAGCATTGAACTCTAGGAGTTAAAATGTAAATATACAAGTTCCACACCTGTTACATTCATATATTGATTGCGATCATGTATTACATCCATTCATCACATGAACTGTCAGTGTGTCTGCGTCACCATCGTCTGACCTGTTTCTCTTCCTCCTGTTTCAAATCTCTGTCTCTTCTGGCATCTCCTCCTATTGCCAGGCATCAGTAGCTGCTTGATGAAACATAGAGCCCTGCTGCCCTGGCAGCTAATGAAGAAGCTGCAGCTTTGACATCACAGATCAGACTCACTCATGTCAAGACCTGTGACGCTTTGAGAATACACACGTTCTCCTGTCTGTAACAGATAAGTCAGTCTGCAGTGACCCAGCACAGCAGGGAGTCCCAGTCGCTTTTCTGTGAGCATGACACACATATGGAGGAAAGTTGGAATCAGGGCAGATGCACAAAAACTTAAGTCATTACAAAGAATATATATATATATATTAACTGGATTTCTGAGATGTTAAATATGTTAATGAAGACAGGATTATGAAGCAAAAAAACATGTTTGTTTGATTAATTTTTGATTAAGCCTGAGACTCATTTAGTTGAACGTAGAGCGGCTGATCAGAGGAGGGGTGAAGGCAGGTGCTGGGATGCTGTGTCAAGACCAGATTACCTGTTGAACACAGCACAGCAGGGCCGCACTAATGACATGGACATCCAGACTTATTTATGAGGCTGAATGTTGCACTGAGCAGAACAGAAGTGTGTGAGTGCTGCAGGTTGAGACCTGGCTGAGTCACAACATTCAGACTGCACACTTTCAAATGCAGGCAGGAAGTGATTCACACACAGACAGCTCCTCACACTGTCCTGACCTCAGATTTGAACATTTTCAGTAAAATGGGAGGCAGGAGTTGGATTAGTGGTACAACAAACGCTGCTGTTTTCCAAGAGGTGATTGAAAAACAAATCTGAAGTAGTTGTTCTACATACGGCGTAAACAGCCCGTGTTGCCAGGGCAATCTCCATTCATCACTGGGGTTGGTAACGAGACGTGACTGGATGCTGCTTGTTTGTGATTAAAACAGCCGATGGAGCGAAAGATGAGACGTCTCACTGAAAGAGCCATCGACTTCCTGTGAGGCACAATACATCATTAGAAGTGACTGGAGGCTTGACAAAAAAGACTTACTATCAGTTTAATGTGTAAAACGAAGTGGATTCAGAGTAAGTTGTCAGAGCAGGAACAGAAAAAGGGACAAAAAAAAAACCCGTCAGTCCTCCAAACACCAGAGACATATTTTCTCATTCTTTCAATTGAATGTTCAATTCCCTCCAAAAAGATGGTAAGAATTGAAAATGTTGTTTTCAAAGACATGGTCGGATATTTGGAAGGGTTTTTTTAGGGTTGTAACAAGAACATTATCATTATTAAAACATCTTAAAACAAGTTTTAAGTTAATACTTGGAATATATTTAACTATAGTAAAAAAGTATCTTATAATAATTTGACAGTGGTATATTTGCAGCAACTATAAAAACAATTGAAACTAGTACTAATGCAAATGTGAGTGACTGCAAACTGAGACCCAACATACAGTCCTAGTGATAAATATCTTATTTTTATGTGGCACTAGCTTGTCTGTATTTATTACTGTACTGTATTGTAATGTTTTTTTTTTTTCACATTTGTACATATGTATTTTTTTAATGTAAAAAGAACCTCAGTTCAACTGTCATTCTAGAGTTCTCCAACCATATTTGTGCGAAGCCTTATATAAAATGATTCTATAAAGTCCTGATTTATTTATCTTTTATTTATGTATTGGTATTACTAACCACAGCATGGAAAAATAATGAGCTCAAGCCAAGACCTATTGATTACATCTGATTACAAGTCCCCTTCAGCTGCTTTCACACAAAAGGTCGTGAAGAAGTCGCTGCTGAATGAAGACATACTTTTAGTTTAGAATCTAAGATAGAAATACCAGTAGCAGCAGCACCTGACTGGACATTGGCCTTGAAATTAAGTCTGAAATGAATCTTGTAAAATACAGATACATGAAAGATGACCATGGTTCTGTTCATTGTACTGTGTCATGAAGAAATAAAATCCTGTATCATACAAACCTTTTGGTCTCACTGTTGTCACAACAGACCACGTATCATTAAACTGGTGCATCCTTGAGTTTGTGGGGAAAAAAATGTTAAGAAGATTACAGAATTAAAGATGCAAATAAAACATTGGGATTTTACAAAGACATTTAAACAATGATTATAGCGCCTCCTGCAGAGGACAAAGCGACAGAGCTAGATGTCCTGTATTTACCAACACTGGTCATAACTTCCTGTTTTTTTTTACCTTAACCCGTGCTGCAGTTCAGCCCGTTTGAGCTTATTTTAAAATAAAGTAACAGGTTTGTACTAGAACAGCTTCAGAACTACTGATCAGATTCTGTTCCCGGCATTAGCGTTCTTTTTTTTTTCGCTTTCTCTCTCACTGTGAATTCCATGATGTTGATTAGATTCCAGTTCATTATAATGACAAGGAAAATCAGTCTTTGTTTCGTAGCTCTAATTTTATTTCTGCTTTCAGGGAGGTCTTTGACGGCCCTCGCTCTGACATTTACCTGACCTGGAGTGTGGAATTAATGAAGTATTTTTGTTGCATTTTCTTAAATCCATGAGAGCATTCACTACACTGATGCATTGATGATTGTGAACCCGACTTCCTTTACCTTTCCTTTTGATGTTGATGTTTTCTTTTCTCCCTCTCATAAATATGAGCTCCGACAGATGAAAAGAAGCACAGGGAGACTGCCAACCCCCTCTGCTTCCTCCCCTTTATGAATTTTTCCTCACTGCCTTCCTTCCTCTTGCCTCCATGAACATTGGTGTTGCACTGATATGCTTCAACATACAGAAACACAGAGATGTGACTAATGTGGTTTCATCCATGACTGATTGAAACATGATGAGTGCATTTTTCGATTGCGTCCTCCCAAGTCTCTCCCATCCTCATGTTTGGGACAAAGCTCTGCTGAAACCTCTTCATCAGCATCAGCGTCATCATCATTATTGTCAAGAGCAGCAGCAGGTTTTTGTTTCTTCAAATGTTAATGTTCCTCTTACTAACAGCACGAACAGTTGGTCTGTTTCCATATGCTGGAGCTCATGTTCACTTGAGGTTTATTTCTGTATGTTCAGCCGTAACAGATATTTACCCAGATAAACAGAGGTGTCTGTTCTGATCTGCTCCCATCAATCTGATGTACCCCACGGATGACTGAAGAAGTCTCCAACTTTACTGTTATTCCCCTTAACATGGATACTGACTCTGACTTCAGCCTGAGGTTTTCAAATCCAGAAGTTTTCACAGGCGTGAGATCTAAAAATTAATACTTATTACTTGAAATAAAAAACTACAAACATGACAAGACCTTTCTAAAAAAAAAAAAAAAAGACAAGACCTTTCTAAAAAAAAAAAGCCCCTATATTCAACCAAATCATAGTCAAACGACACTGTAAACAAACAGAGTCTGTATTCTGTAAACACACTAAAGGACACCCACTGTGTGCCCAATGTGTTCTAACATTGTTCTTACACTCATTTCCATAAGAACAACCATAATCTGTGTTGTGGTCGTGTCGTTACATTTTGCTTGTGTTTTTCCCGTTCATTTATTCAACGCAGAGATTAATTCACTGCACCATGGAAACCGATTTCACTGACTTTTGCCAACAACACAACGCTCCCAGACTCACTCAGCAGGAGATGTCACCTGTTTGCCTCTCACTGCTGCAAACATTCAACACTGTCCTGTGTTTAAAGCAGACATAGTTTTATATTATGAGGTGTGAAAATGAGACAGACTGAGGCAGATAGAAACAAGACCAACTCAGAGTTCACTAGAACCTTCAAACAGCAGCTTTGGTAGTTGTGAGAATGGAGGGTTTCATGATGGAATTCACACACACACACACACACACACACACTCTGACACACACATACAGAGTAGCGCCAATCAACACCTTAAATCAGGCTTCCTGTCCTCAGCTGACTCTTGGTGCTATGAATGGAATCAGAGAACTGATGTCTGGGTTTCACACCGTGGAGATAACAATCCAAAGTCAACATCAGACACACAATAACAAATCACCTTCAGAGTTGTATTTCAAAGTAAGGAAGTATACAAACTTGGTTGGTTGTCATGTTCTGGTAGTTGGTGGAGTTCAATGCCTTGGTACACCAAACAAAGCATCAGAAAGTACTTATTATCCAAAATGATATGTTTATTTAAATTCGTAACTAGAATAATAATCTCTAAATCTCATCAAGAACATTTAATAGTCTACAGAACTTTCAAAATAATAACTAATAATGGCTAGCTCACAAAATAGCAGCAAGGTTAGCACATTTATCCAACTGAGGAGCTCATTTTTAGTTCAATCCATGGTGGTTCTCCATTTTTCGAACCCTAATTTTCTTGCTGTGAGGGGAGAGTGCTAACCACTGTCCCACTGTGTGACCCTCCATGTCTTATTTAGAGGTCAAAGACCTAATTTCTCCATAAAACTATAAGACAAATAATGAATGTAGTACAACTACTCGTTATACAGTATAACGACAGTATATCGACATAATGAACATCAAATAGCATCAATAAAAACATAAAACAAATAACAATATTATTTAAAAGACAAAACGCATTTTACTCACCAAATTTCCGATTAGTTGTACACAAATTACAACTTCCCTTTTTTCCTTAGGGCCTCATTTTCTCTGTTGTACAAACTGTCCGTGCGTTGAAGTTCTAACAAGTCGTTTTCTATCGCCATTCCTTCTACCGCTGAAAGTCCAGTGTGTCCTGTCGTATTCATAGCATATCGCTTCAGGCTGAGAATGTCAGCATCGACAGTGGTCTGGAGCAGTAGTCGCAGAGAAAACTTAATTTTCCAGAGTCCAAGCCGCTAAATGCAGTTAGCTAGATTCAAGACTGTGTGTTCTCTGACCATCCAATCAAATCACTCATATCGCCTACGTAACTGAGGGCCAGTTAAAATGCCTTGATACGTCAATTTGATGGCAACCCAAAAACTGATTGGTAACAGAATACTCTGTTAATTTGTATTCATTAATTATTCATGATAAATATATTGAAAAATAAGTAACTGTTTCTGAAGCTGTTTCGGCCAACAGAGCCTCGACGGTACAACACTGCTTGTCTGATAAAGTCTGATAGTTTCCCTTTGATACAAAATAATAAAGTTTAGCCTATTAAAGCAATTTTAGAGAATTTTTATTTTATTTCAGAATACAAATTGCCCTGTCTTGTAAATATAACATTTAACTTTCTGAGGGAGTTTTTTTTTTCCTTGAGAATTTTCTTTGTGAAATTTGGCTGTAAAAATACCATTTACTTGACCCAACTTTGTGGGTCCATTTTACAGAATATTTTTCTCTCGGCCTTCACCTCAGGAGTGAATTAAAGAAAAAAAAACAAAGGACAGATTTAAATCCGGTGGCACTGCAGAACGTCACTTTAATTCGAAACACTTTGCTTGCATTAAATTGGCATTAGCTTCGCCAAGGCATGTTCAGAGTTCCATTCATCAACCAGGCCGCTCTTGCCTTCTTTTACTTTCCTTTCCTCTTTTGTTTCCCTTGTCTTGTTTTAATTCTTGTTCCTCTCCCTCTCCTCCTTCCTCAATCTCCTCCCTTTTTTCTACCACCCCATCCTCACCCTGATCCCGTGCCTCTCTCCAGAGGTCTGTACACCTCCTACTCCTGAATACATCTGCGTCATTCATGCCATGCAGTTACGTCAGAGCCTACTTCAGCATCCTGGGGGGCTGAGAGGTACAAGTGAGGAAGAGGTAATGGGTTGTTGGGGCGTAGGGGGCGGCGCATCGAAAAGAGGAAGAAGATGGAGAGGAACATTGGAATTTATTGACATAATTATATGCATGTTTTTGTTGCTGTGGGTTTGATTTGAGTCATTTGTCCATTTTTAAGGATTAATTTTAAACAGAGATTTTTTTCCATTTAGTTTTGGTTTTTGTAGACTAAATTCCTCTCTTTATTTAAGGTATTCGGCAATGTCCCTTTAAATTCTTTCAGGTTTTTGTCGACATTTTCGCTTTGTTTTTCCTTTAGTATTAGCAATGTTTTTGCTGTAGGGTTACAATGATGCTTTAGCATTGCTGAATGTTTAAATATTCTTATTCACAATGTTCCATGCATTGACTGCCTTTTCACTCAACTTATATATATATATATATATATATAAACACACACTACAGTAATGGTATTTTCTGATACATTTACTGATACTTGCTGGCGGCCCTGGCGCTGCCTCTAGCTCTAAAATTATGTTGTGCTCAATAAAGTCTGCCTTCATCTGTTTCCTAAATATAATATCTCTATTATTGAACAGATGACAAACTAATGCTGGGCTCTTTAGTCTTTCCGTCCATTAAAGCCTTAGTCCTGATGAAGTATAAAGAAAAAACAATCAATGGTATTTTGCTTTAAAGTCAGGACGTCTGTCCTCAAAGTTTAAATATTTATTCAAACCAACTTTCTTTCATCTCGACTGCTGTGCTCAGCTAGACTAAGGAGAGGAAGGAGAGGGAAACAGTAACTACTCTGAGTGATCAGGACCTTCAGGAGTCGAAGATGTGAAAATGAAGTATTGTGTATTTTAAAATTGCACATATTGACTCATTTTTTAATGAATGTCAATAAAGACGCTGGAAGGAAAATATATAACAAGGGCACCAGCTCACAGCAGACTGGAGAAAATGACAAGAAAGAACTCATTATTTCATTTGTCATTTCACCTTCACTTCTTCAAAATTCATTTCCAGTAGCATTTAAATGCCACACAGATCAGAGAATCCTCCAGATCCTGATCTATATATATATATATATATATATATATATTAGGATACAATGAAACCCAAACCTTTTCCACATCACACTTGATATTTCAGTTGTGATAAAATGCATGGCTAAAAAAATCTTTTCTAAAGATTTGTATACTGAATGCTTTGAACACAAATCTCATGATGACATTTATTATGTTTTCCTCCTTTTAACAGAAACCGAGGCAGATTTATGTCTCCTCTTTTGGTTCTGTCTGTCAGGGTGAAGAAAACACACCTGTTGAGCTGCATCTCTAACAAGCATCCTGGTGATTATGGAGAGCAGCTGCAGAATCTCTGGGGTTTTTAAAATGAGAAATCTGGAAGAAAACCTGGTTTTGAATTCAGTGTGTGTGGAGTAGATAGATGAAGTTGGATGAAGGGAAGAAGGGTTTTGTCCAACTTTCTGTCAGTAGCTGCTGTTTACACAACCATCTGTTCACTGCTGTTTAAACTGTGGAATTCCATCTCTGGTTTGTGACTCAGTGGAGAACAGGGAATATTTTTATTTATTCAAATAAAAATATTACATTTGAAAGGAATATACAGTACCTTCACCTATGCCCATGCAAAAGCTCCATGGTCCCATTTTGGTAACCACTGCCTTAATCTCTTACACTTAAAAAACAAAAAACAATAATAATAATAATGATAATAATAATAATAATAATCAGTTTTTCTTCCTTTAGTATACATTTCATCAAAGTCATCACTGTATCATCTCCCCCATGTTGTCAAAGCTACAACTTTTTAAATGGCATTTTTAACACGAGCTTACGTTCCTGAATGTTGCATTTCTCCTTCGTTTACATTCTCAGTACACTTCACTGGAGCATTGATTCTTCTTCTCTCTTTGTTGTTTTTCATCTCCTGCGAAGCGACAGATGTGAATGGATGAGGACAGGAGTGACAGAGGAGTTACAGCAGAGACACAGTCGACTTCAACTGGATTTTACCAACATGTAGATAGATGTTTACATAAATGCCACAGCTATAGTGAGGGATTCTCCTCGGTGCACGAGGGAAATCAATACTCCAGAAGAATTATACTGATGCTGAAGATGCTTGGAGGTGGTGTTGGTGTGTATTTGTGTGTGTGTGTGTGTCTGTGTGTGTGCGGAGTGAGGGGGCTGTAAACACAGTTTGTTTCTTCAGCTGAGACCCTGTGTTTCTTCATCAACTTCCTTTTCTCAAGCCATGAAATTGCCGTGCGTCGTCAATATTAGCGTTCCCATCAGTCACTCATTGACTCTTTGCAGACTTGTGTGTGTCCGTATGCATATGTCTTGCTTGTATTTATAGTAGCGCCAGAATGTGTGTGCGTCTGTGTGCCAACAGCGGCAGATGGCACTTCCTCCATAAGTCACTGCGTTTTTAATAAAGAGCCCGGTGAGAAATGAAGGGACTTAGAAAGAAAGAAAGAAAAAAGTAGAGAAGGAAAGGACGGAAGGGTTTATTTTATTGTGTATATTAAGAAATCTCAACTCTGAAAAGCAGAGGAGTAAAATAATTTCTGAGTGGAGGTGTGAGTCATCCATGTGAGGTCACGTTAACCGTCCGTTTCACCTCAGGGAGTCTTTTTTTAAACACTCAGTTCAGTTGCTGAAGTTCCAACTCCCTAGTTGGATTTTCTGGCATCGCTGTTTGTGTGTGCGTGTGTGTGTGTGTGTGTGTGTGTGTGTGTAGGATTATTTTCAGTTTGCTTTTAATAACTGCCAGGTTTGATGTGATCCATGTTTAAAGCATCAGTGACGCTGATGGTGATGTAAACCAACAGGAGTGGGGATCCTTCGTCTTATCACAGACCAGATTGAAATCATAAACTGATAATGAAACACTTGAGTTTTGACAATGTGTCCTCACATATTTGTTCTCTGGTGTTAATTTGTGATTAAATGCAAACTACATGGGGAGAAAATGGTGTAAATGGTACAAAATAGCAATAAAGGCTTAGACCATGATCTCAGTGTGGTTTATTATGATCTAATTAAAAGAAGGAATAATAAATATAACTATATAATACAATAATGAACATTTAAGCCTCCATGGGTGGAAGAGTGGAGGTTTAAATATGGTGTTAGCGTTTCCCTGGAAGAAGCAGAACAAAACAATGTAAATAAGTAGGTGATTGGATGGATGGACAGATGGACGGATGGACGGATGGACGGATGGAGGGATGGATGGATGGATGGACAGAGGGATGGATGGATTGATTGAAGGGACGGATGGATGGATGACGGATGGATGGATGGATGGATTGAAAGGATGGATGCATGGATGGACGGATGGAATGGAAAAATTCAACTGTTGTTTTTTTCATTTAAATAATTATTGTACAGTTTACTTAATTCATTAAAAAATCTTTACAAACGTTGTGTATTAGTTGTTGTCATATTCTAATGTACTTTTTGCCCATCCACATGTAAGAATGTAGCAATGAAACGTAGGATCAGATCAGATCAATGGATTGGGACGTCAGTGTATTAATTCATCTGTGGCAGCAGAGATGTGACTCTCAGGTCTCCACACTCTTCACGTGAGTCATTTAGTTTTACAACCTTCTACATGATTGAATTTGTTCACCTCGTTAGACAGCCTTGATTAAATATTCAGGCGTCTGTAACAGCTGATGAGCCTGTGACCTCGCAGACTGGAGAAACACATCCACACTTCCTGGGAATAAGAAGATCTTCCCCCTCTGTTCTGAAATGAGCTGCAGTATTCTCAGCTCAGCCGGTGGCGGGTGGTCCATGCTCCCCCTCTGAAGAGAGTTCCAAGGTGATGCTGTAGGACAGGTTGGTAGCCAATCAGGACTCTGTCATCAGAGCAGTGGAGCTGAGCTCAGTAATCGATGTATTTGTGCCGTCAGTCTGAAGCCTGGAGCGAGAGTCAGTGAAGGGGTCACAGTCTGAGCCTGAGGTTTCTACTTAGAATCAGAAGATGTAGTGGATGACTGGAGATGTTCTAAGAAAACAACAAAAATACTCCATTATGGACTTGAAAAGGAGGCCAAAAACAATGACATTAAAACGTCCAAAGGGTCATGGTGATATAACATACAAATGTTTTACTGTTATTGTCTTGTA